GATAGCATTGGTGGTACAATGCAAACTATTTGCGTATGCCACAGAAAACCTCTGGATGCTGACTGCCATAGTCTCCACAGTTTGAAATGTTTCTTACCTGATAACTTGACCTAAAGGTTCACATCCTCCCTACGTTCATATCGCCCATCTTAATTTGGGTGGCTTTTCCTTACGGGGGAAGGAAGCAGCAAGAGGGTTCGTAATGCTGTGGGGAAAAAATGCAAGCGCTATCATGCATAAATTTGTTTCCAAGGTATGCACGTCGCTTTCCACATTGCGAAAGTAAGTAGAATCAATTGTAAAGTCACTGCGTCAATTAAAATATTTCCAAAAAAGGAAATGCTTTCAACAATTCCTTATGGTTACTGTTTTATCGCAAAGAAGTAGAGTGGGTAAACCTTGAAATCCGTAAATAAACTCAGCATTCTTGCATTTTGCGACGTGAAAGAATGAAATAACTCAGACTCATGTGCACTCCTTTTTTGCCATCAATAAATAAAGTCTTAGCAATGTTTATGTCCACAGGCTATTTGCTTAATTGGTCTGTATAAAACAAAATCATGTACATAAATGTTACCCGTTTCAGCGGAAAATGCCCTTGATTCCTTTTAAAAAACTGCGACCAGATGGAAGAACACATGAAAAAGGATAAGTGGATAACTTCAAAGTGCCTAAACCTGAATCCCACCCTTACCACCAATGCAGCACCATTCATGTTCATGTGCTCTTCCTCCCGACTACTCCAGGAACATCAGGCCGGTTACATTGAGAACTGCGCATGATTTGAGTTACTTTTGACATACAAGAGGTCAGAGACGAAATTGTCCTGTTCTGCTCAGCGTTATCATTATGCATCAGGTTTGATTTGTGATTTCGCTTTTCGCCCAAAATGTGCATTTAAAATAGCAAAATAGGTACAGACCCTCGTCTCTTGGGTTGATTGTCTTGGTGACTGCACTTTATGGGTTTCCTTTTTACTGCACAATTGGATGACCTTCCTTCTTTCGTTGGTTGTGTACCTTGTAGGATCGCAGTGCTGCGCAATGTGGATAGTGTGTAGTTAAAAGACCCCTCACTGCCCGAAGCGGATCATTATTCTAAGGCAGATTAAGGTTGCAGCATATTTTTTTCTCGATAGACATTAGCCCGACTGTTGTTGTATTTCTTCCTTCTGGTGTAAGAAAGCTGAAATCACTCAACCCCCACTGAAGAAACCAAATTAAGTGTGTTTTGAAGACACTTTCTTTACTCCAAACCGAATCACCTCTACATAAGAACGCGGTTCCTCAGTTATAGCAACATTTTTTTAAATTCCTCAGAGATGAGTTTATTCGCCTGCGTTTATTGGGCTTTGTCATAGTTTTCTCGGTGTGTTGTTGGGTCTTTTTAATCCATAACGGGTGCTTGGAGGGCATTTTTATCTCTACAGGTGATGGAACCGAGAGCGCTTAGCTTATTTCCTCTGCTGCTTTAATGCAGTTTAGAGTACATTTAACTGAAATTAAATCATTACTAGAAAATTCATCATAAAAACTAGTTACTCTTGCACTGGAGCCTCGCCATTCAATTTCAACGGCTAATCGGGATGAACAACCGGATTAAATTAAGCAGTGAAGAGTGCCACCTAAAATGACTTGTCCTTAAAATGACTTTGCCTTCGTAGTACAACATAAGTAAAGAACGTTCAACAGTCTGCTTCAACTCAATATAGTTATGGCAAAACATTCTAATCTACAGGCTTTGCTTTATGCAAACTTGTCTCCATCTGACACTGAACTAATAAGCAGATTAGGGACCTGAAACGACTGCGACATTTGCCCATAGTAAATGACTCAAATTCCTTTTTTATGTGCTAGGAAATAAGCAGTACAACCACTGGTAGACTAGATGAGAGCGCATGCGTGGCACATTGCCGGCATCGTAAAGGGCACCACCAAAGGCAGCTCCCGTTCACGGCATCATGCTCTGCCCTGGCATGATCCTTTCATCAAAGAACATCCGCAGCCATAGCTGAAGTTCACTTGAAGCAGTAATAATAGCTTTGCGAGGCTATTAAATCCCTACTCAATGAATAAGATAGAGCGCACTTCTTTTTGATTGCCGCCTTAGTACACACTGGTCGTCTTCTCTGAAAGAACAGTTGGAAAAAGAGTTGATTGTCTGCTGCAGAACCTTTCATACATTTAAAGCAAGAAAGTAATAGTCGCGGGTTTGTATGCACTCAGATCTTCTATTTTTACGTATATTTGAGATGCCACACTGCCATTCTTTCAAAGTTTTTACTGATTTATTGTTTCCTAGCACTGACTACCGCAGGAAATCAGTTTATTGGATAAATCAAAACGTAAGATGGCATGATTACGTGAGATTAGTGGAGCATTGTCGTTATTTGTCTCCTCTTGCCTGTGCATCGATGGCGTAATACTAAGGGGTTGTAGGATAGTCTCAATCAGTGTCAGGGGGACGACCAACGCCTCGAGTACGAAGCGCGTGTTGGCTTTTCATCGCTCACCACAAAGTATAGTCAGTAACTTCAAGCTATTCTAATCAGTTTTACAGTTTGTCACAAAACAGACTTGGATTCATAACAACTTCCCACGCCACGACTAAATGACCGATGAATAGACAAAAAAAGAGGCAGGTTGCTTTCAAAATTATTTGTGTCCGTCTTACACAGATGTGAGCGCGGGGAACTCGACTATTCCGATAGCTGCAAGATGGGTTTGTGCAAACTCTCTGAATACAAACTTTGCGTTCGGCTTGAAATTGCAAACTCCCAATATCCAAACACTGAAAAGCAGCACGTCTTGCAAGTGCTGTATACCGTTGGGGTCAATGCGTCTGCGTTTACGGAGCGGTGCGAAAGAAGCAAAATAAAATCTACGCTTTTGACCTTTATCATTAGTATCTAAGCCACCAATGTAGTCTGCCTCAAACAATTACCAAGGTGCAGTCATTTAAATGTGATTGAACAAGTTTAATTTAATAATTGTTGGCTATTTGCCTATGGTTTACGTCGGCGTGTCTTTAATGAGGCTGTTTAGGCAACATCTGACAGGATACGGATATGCCGTATCATTTTATTCCTTGGCCAAGAGCATTTTAAACTTTAGACCATTGGAAGGTGAAGCACTGTATTGCTTTTACCATTCCTAACGCCACAATGGGATACACAAGTATCGACAAGCCGCTTACCACTGGAGGATTGTAACAATGTCCTTCTGACCGCCATTAAACGGGAGTAAGAATCACAGGTGCTGAGAAGTCCTTCCCCATGTGTGTGCCTTTAGTACCCTTACTTTGCACGCCTCCTTGTTCGACAATTGGACAAAGGGATGAAACAATCGGAATGACAATTCCTGAAGTACTTTAATTTACAATCAGGTAGAAAGACTATTGATTCACTGTTAACCAGAACATTGGGAGATCAGGAAATCACTAACTTTCCTCTGAGCCGAAGCACACTTTGCAGCTGTTGCGGGAAGTGTCTTAAAATTTTTCCTCTCCTTCCCATCCCAAAAGTACTGCACATACTCGTTTTAATGGGAGTCATGATGCCATAGGAAAGGCATGTCATTTCCACAACCGTTTTAAATATAGCATCTATCATCCAACCAGATGACTTTTTAAGGCCATCTTCGCGTGCCTCCGAAACAATGAGGTCAGTGTAACTCAAGCAGTCCCATAAGAAAAAAGTAAACTTGTAAAAGTTGGTGGTGTTAAAATTTTTTGCACCGCTTTACTCAACTTTTGGTTTGTGCACAGAGCAAATTACTTTCAGTTTTTTTACTAGGCAGAATCAATTAAGCCAATAAAAAGGATGTTCTTAACTGTACTTACTTGGCATTTTTAGTAATAATTCCCGCGATCCTGCAGACAGCAGCTGCGTACCTCTGGATAGACCAATGCAGGAAGCAGCTGGGCCACAAATCCTTGACCAATTCTCGTAATGACAGATACAGTACAGTTCCAACAGTTTTTCGAAAAAAAAATGTTACAGACATGACAAGAACGTTATTTATTTACCGAATCCTAGCCTGTGTGGCGTCTTTATTGGTGCTGTTGTGTTCTACTCTCCCTCAGCTAGTTCTCGCCGTAGCAAATCCTCCCAGGGAAGGTAACATTGACCAACTATGGGGTTGGTGTCACACATTTGTGTACATGGATCATACAACCCGCTCATTTGCTACATACCTGATCGTTGTACCCTATGTTCTCTTCTTTTGGGACTTCCTGTTCAGCGAAGTTGTTCCAAGACGTCGCTTGGTGATGCAGCATATATTCCGTGGCGTCCTCATGTCAGCACTGCCTATAGCGTTATTCTCCTCACTGATTGCGGTGCCCCTTGTTGCCTTTCGCTATGAGCGACTTTGGAACGGCACCCATGATGTATGTCACTCAAGCATCAGTGGAACTAAAACATTTCTCGCGTTCGACTTTGCTGTTACGCGAGTAGCCCCAATGCTGATAATCATTGTTGTGACATCAGCCTTTCTCATTTGGTTGCCTCGACATCACTACGGCGTTTTCTATGAGCCTCTCACATTCCTGTTTTTGATGGCTCCAGTCGTCTTCGTCGAAGCAACAATCTACATAGCCTGTTATATGGACGTGGTTCACTATCTGTTCAATGAGCACTTCGCTAATGTTCTCCTGATTTTTTATGCTTTTTATCACATGTCGTTTAGCAGCACCTTTGTCTTGGCAACTCTGCGCTCTGTAGTCACCGAGATTCGACGCGAAAGGAAAGCTAGAAAACAATTTTTGAGTGGAGAAGAACCAAGAGGAGATGAGCGTAGAAATGCTCGTCGAAGCAATGTTATGCATGGACTGCAGCGTCAGTTTTCTGTTGTTTTCCGGTGGCGCTCCGAATGTGCAGAAGATGAGCTACATTTAGAGGACCACGTAAAGAGCAAGAAGCCCGAAATCGATGTAGAAGCACCTCCAATTCTCGAAGAGACATCTGACGATGATTCGGCCGAAAGAAAGCATCCTGATGATGCAACCATGCACTATTCTATTTTGCAGCGGTCTGCCACATATAAGAAGCCCATATTAGAAAGCCAAGATGTCAACTTCTCAGCAAAACCTCTATTTAATGTCAGCGCATCGGACTCCGATAGAGCACGCTTTCGAGGTGACAGTCCAATGGGAAATTTTGGCAAAGAGCCATATTTAGTCTTCAAAGCTCCGGAAAGTCATGTTGAGAGTGTGAGTTGCAGCATAGATTCCGTCGTCCACGGACTCCAACACCAGATCCATCAAACCGGTCACAACACTGATAGTCACAAAAATACTAGCCATCAAAGTGAGAATGACATTTTGCTGACTGCTTCACCGCCAAGAAATTTGCAAAAGCTCCCATGATTTTAAAGTTTGAAACCCAAATTTTTTGTCAAGCCCCAGTGATTTTGACACGCGAGCCAGCCACCAAACTACTTCTTTATTTTCTTCTGATCAATTCTAAGGATGACCAATGTGCTACAGTGCAAACTTATTCCATCAGTAGTATTGTCCGTTAATAAAAGTACCTCATTTAGAAGTGTTTTGTTTGATCATCTGTCACCTCAGGTGCCAAACGTAACTCCTAGCGCCCTACGAATTTCATAGACGGCTACAATCGTCTGCAGCTCCGTTTATGATGTTTTTTGACGCTAAGCACATCACGCAGGCGGTTGGTAACATGAGCAGATCCGTCATGGCACTTCCTTAAAGTAAATGAGAACGGTAATCGGATAAGTATTTGCCTCCAATCTTTGCAGAACCTCCATTTAATTTAGCTTAAAGTATCATCATCACTCATCGCCTTGGAGCAATGGCGCTGATGTTGACTGGGACGACGGCCACACTTGTGATGACAGGCAGCAACAGAGATATCTACGAATGTGTCCAACGTACGCCTAAAATTACTCTTGGTTTTGACCGGTTTTTTCCGCATTCCGCTGGCTGCTTTTAAATGGAGTTTATCGTTGTTGTTGCTGCTATTGTTGATGTTGTTGAAGTTAATTATTTGGAGTGATTTGCAACCGATGCATCATTACAGTCTTGCACCACGTAGAATGCTACCATCTTTATGAACGTATCGACAGCTACAAACAAAGCCATACGGCAATGCGGAAAATCGGCTTCTAAAGCAAATAGCTGGTCCTCTTGACACACAAGCCATGCTTTCAAATTGACAGAGCCAGTTGGAGAAAAGGTGGAGCCAATGCACAGTATGGTATTTTTTGACATTCACTACCTGCACTTCGTGGCGAAGATAGTTGAAACGACGCGCAAACATTCAGCTTCGATTTAAATTAACAATGTTCTGACAGAATAAAAAGACTACTGGCAATAATAAGTCGGCTATTAGCATTGCTGCAGTAGCATAGAAGGCATCCAATAAAAGATGATATTTATCATGCTGAGGTAGCTCATCGTTTTAAGCAGAAAATTATTAGTTTAAGAAAATCAGAACCTGGCACTTTTTTACTACTTTTAGGGATCTCTTCATTGCGCATACGAATGCCCAGGTTCATTTTTTTGTATTGCTTTTACCCATCTCGATTGCTCTAAGCGGCCGCTACTGCCCCTGTTAATGTTATGGTAGTCAGCTTTGGCAGGCAGTTCATCTTCTCTATCGTAACACCTCGCCTCTTCCTTTCCTCCGTTACGCTCCTCATGCTCATGCTCAACTAAAATAGGGCCTACTTTCTCAAAGTTGGTGACGTTTCCTAAATAAAGCCTACCTCTAACTTTTGGCAGCTCTTTGTAACAAAGAACCGTTCGACTAGCACATAAGCATAAAAGGCTGCGCAATCTTTAATTTACGATAAAACAGTTAGAAAGCACCACTAGAATCTATCTAAATCGTTCATGGTATTCCTACTATGGGGTCTCATTTACTACTTTGGAGTAGCTTTTAGCGTCGATGATTTTTCAAGCATTAGCAACATTCCGAATTCACCTGCTTGTATATCAGGCACCCAAGAATTATCGACGCCATGAGACAAGTGCCCTGAGGCATCCCAATCGTTAGTCGACCGATTCGCATCGCCTCTTCAAGAATATTTTAAAGTAGGCAATTTAAGTCTGCTTTTATTGGTGATTTTCAAGATGATAAGACACGACATGCCCGCCTAACACATAAAACAAGTGTGAACCACTTTCCATTGGATAAGTGTAAATTAACTTTTGGCTATCAAACGATGGCACCGGGCACAATGCAGTTTGGGTAAGAATTAACTCAAAATAGCATCTTTCGAATTGCATTTGTTAATGGAATGGTGAGAGTCATAAAATAGGGGACATATCACGGAAGGTTTGTGTTTATCCGCTCCACTCAGGAGAGGCAGTTAAGTAGTTAATTCAATGAACGAATTTCCCAAACAAGTTCTTGATTCTCATATAAATGAAATCTAACTGGAAATGGCATCCCATTCAGTGCCATCGATGCACCCGCCAAACAGAAAAGAAACTTGAGGATATGTTACTACAACTGAGACTTTTGCTAATGCATTAAGTAGGGAAGAAAATTCTGTTCGATGCTGAATAACCGTACAGGATGGAAAAGGCTTGCATTTGATTGTGGGCGTTTTGCGAAGCTTCTTATATTTTTGGCGCAAAGTGATTGACAGAGAATGCGACTTCTTAGTTCCCATTAAATTGTGCATGCATCGACAACTGTGATACATTTGCGATAAAAGGTTGCATCATTTTAGAATTTTATGAGTTTTGTGTGAATTTAAAATCAAGTTTTAAGTTCACTTCAGCGTGCAAATGTGTGTATTTGCAAGGATGCAGTCAAATGGCTGTTATGTGCTCAGCCTCTTACTGATGCTTGGTCTACTTCTCACGTATCAAGAGACTTAGGGGCTCGGAAGTCTGAGAATCGGCTACAGCGCAATTGTTGCTGTTTTATCAAATGCCATGACTATGCATTTTGACTTTCCTTACCAGCATATGCCAGCCTCAAATCAATTTTGTCCATGGTACTGCAATCGAAATTCACTTTTTGATCATATGAACGACATTCCTGCTCGCAATAGCTGAAACCCTGGATCCCGTTAATTGGGATTGAAAACGAAACGCCATGGTAATAGCAGGCACATACTACCTGACACGACATTTATGTTTCATTTTTGTAAGATAAAGTCGCTTTTTCCCACAATCGAAGTGTACCTTACTTCTCAATCATGGGGAAACCTGAAACGTTCCCTATCGCAGCATGAAGCTGAGGAAGGCCGTTCTCCTCAGAATTATTAACATAATTTAGTTCATTGGAATGCATTAACATATGTTTAACGAAGATAAAGCGTATTAGATATACATGCGTAACAATGAGTATCTCAGTGAACATCGACACCCTAAATGTGGATTTATTTTGAATAAACTTCTTTTCGAATTCACTTTTGGAAGAATTGTTTTGCAGCTTTTAACCACCAAAATACGACAGCGATACAGTTCATGTCCTCCTCCGTAGCAGAGATCCGCTTGGTCGAGATTGTGGTAAAAATACGGATCTTGTCGCTAGTACCGATAAGCTCACAGGGGAGCTGTGGCGTACCCAAGTACGAAAACCATTAAACTTTTGCTGTTTACGTGTTACTTAAATCATTAAGTAAGAGAGGTTATTAGCTAATACCTGACTGAAGTTGCGATTAAGCAAAGTAATGAATGACAAAGAAGTACAAGGGCAAAGCTATTGCAATCTGCTAAGCATGGTACATATAACAGCCACGAATGATGTTAGCTTTTATCCCCAAGAAGGAAGCCATGTTCAATGGAACATGGCAGTCACGTAGCAAGTAACGGACAGAGGTTGTCAGAATCACTTGTCATTTTTCCTTATTTTTAATAGTATTGCCATTCAAATTACGTGTTTTTATTTGATGTGAATAAACTGGCTTTTAGATTGCTGGCTCATGCTTGCAGAATATGCTGCGGCATCAGTGCCAATTTGACTTTAATCATTGTTGAATTTATCAGTACATGACGGAAGTGGCTTTATTGTTTGCCGGTGCTTTTGTATGTCCTAAGTTTGGTAAGTAAGGTAGAGCAACAATTATGGACGATAAATAGATTATACCAGAAAGGCATCAACAAGTCGACTTGAAAATCAAACAGTTTCAGTTTCTGGGGGCATAATTTGAATCTCTGTACCTTGACCGAAAGGATCCCGCAGTGCTGTCTCCTTACTTCCTTCTCCGTCAACTTCATTGTCCTTCTCTTCATCCTCTCCAACCTCCCTCTTTGGCTGGATTGCAGTTGATTTATTCCTTGGTGTCACCATGGTAATTAAGCAGTTTCGCAATCGGGGGTAGCGATTCAGGCACTTTTCAGGGCAGCATATACAATTGCAGCCCGTGGTGTAAACCGTTGTCTTTAGTACAAATTGAGCATGATAGGCAGTTAGAGCAATGATAATTCCTGTACCATACATTTCAGTTTCTACCTCCCTGCTAAGGGTTATTCTATAGGCCATTGCAGTGGCCATAAGGAAGAGCATCGGCATGTTTAATATGACAAAGTTCACGTAGTAGCACCGCAGACGAAAGCGCATCTTTGAGCCACCGTTGAGTTGCACCTTTGCAAGTACTCCATGGTAGAAAGCGGCGGTGATTGCAATCATAGGGAGCAGGACAATAAATATGAAATCATAATAAAAGTATGCTGTGGTAATTTTGCTTTCGTACTGATACATGTCAAAGCCAAATATGGAGGGCAATGTAGCGAAAAATGAAAGAATGTATATGATTCCAGGCAGTGCGTGTTTGCATATGTAAACGAATTCTCGAGTTGGTGGTTTAACGACAGTTTCCTCCTCTTTCTCCTTTTTTTCACTGGGAGCAAGGAATTCAAAGCCCAGCAGTTGTCCATGTCCAGGAAATAGCAATTCCTGACTTGAATAGAAGGAAGGTAGAGTTAGTGAATGAACGTCAGGCGAGGTAGAACCCTGCCTCTCAAAAAATGTTGAAGTAGCCGCGTCTTCTGGTGAGAGGTGCTGACCGAATCCCCCTTCAACATTCAAGAGAGGTAAAATTGGTCGATTTTGGGTGGATCCTCTGAAACTTGTGCTACGTGAGGCTTGATGTGAGCCGCCTGGAGGCATGTGAAGAGTCGCGTTAGAAAGTTTTGAGGGAGAGCCTCCACTAGGTCCCAGATAGTTACCATGGTGCATCCCTTTAGGTGATGCACCCTCTTCGGAATTCACATTCATGAGGTGACCGAGGTTCACCCGAGGAAGTACGTCAGAACTGTCTGTTCCCCCTAGTCCAGGTCGTGAATGCCCTCCCATACCTATTTGACCAGTTCCACCAAGGCCATCAACAGCAGTAGACATTGAAGGACTCCGGTTGCCCGTCTTCATGAGGGTCTGCAAGTACTGCATTGGCAGGCCTGACTGCAGAAATTGAGCATAGTAATACATGCATTCAGGCGAATTTTGGAACATTCGTCTAAACTTATCGTCCTTCTCTGGAGCAAATTTATCTCTTAGCACTTCGATGATATGTTCTTTAGTCCAAACTGCCCGAAAGGCATTAAACCGGAGATAGTTACGCCAAAGCCAGCGAATGATGGGCATGCGGTAGGCCCAGTAAATCATGTGGTAAACGGCTGCGGTCCGAGCAAATAGGTCGAAGAACTGACGAGCCTGCATACAGCCCACTTCACTGATGAATTGAGCATATCGGAGAGGATACGGAAAAAATAGAGGTCTGGCTATTGTTGTGAAGATCGTAGGTACAGTAGAACAGAGAAGAACTATAATTTCGGGACGTTGAGGAAAACTTACACCAGCTTTTCGAACATCTACCAAATTCATAAATCCCCAAGTTGTAATATTTTCTGGAAAAAAACAATTATGAAAACATTAAAGTATGATTAGGCGGGCACTTTCCCGTGGATAAAAAAAATAAGAGGAATGGGATGAAAAGAAGTGCCCCAGGTCAAGGCACCGGCCCAGGAAAGAGGGAGTGTCCAACAAAGTTTGAATGGGTTTTGAGTTGCGCCACTTATTGTGAGGTCACATTGGGTGCTTATCTGAACGAGTTCAAATAAACTCAACAGTGAGTATGGCAGGTGATATCTGATAAAGGTCTCGCCACTAGTTCGGGTCGTAGCAATCAAAATTATGCATTTAATAGTTCAATATGAAATCTAAAATTTTTGGAGGTGCGTAGCCATAAATTGCTACTAATCTACGTTTGCTGTTATTAAAATGGTTTTTATGACGGTAATGTTGCAGCAGATAGACATGATAAAAGTTCACTTTGTAGGTATGTACTTAACACTTGATGACATACTGATGACAGCGAAGAAGATCATAGTGAGTAGAAATGTTGTGGCAATAAGTGAGATGATCCAATTCCCAGTGCAGACATATCGCTGAAACTCCGGCTCACTTTCGTCCACATCAATCACGCAGGGGTGCTGAGGAGGCACAGTTCTCATCTGTGAGGTTCCAGGTGTGGTCTCGTTAATGTGCACTTCAACGACTGTGGAGGTGGTGGATTCGTCTGTAGTTGGAATCTCGTTTAAAGTAATCCCATTGTGTGTACGAGTTGGTGAACCATTTTCTTCATTGCTTTCCTCAATTGGTCCCTCAGTTGTCGCTAACAGAGGAGCAGCTTTGGATATTCCTGAGGAATGGATTAAGATCTCATTTGTAGGAGCCTTCGTGGATGCTACGTCAGTAGTGTCACCAAAAGCGGTTTGTGGCTTAACCTCAACAGAGTTGGTGATGTCAATTACTGGTGGGTTGGTCAACATTAATAAAGTGAGGATCAGCGGCACGGTTTCACGGGTCATCCCTCCTGAGGTGAAAGTAGTGTTAAAGAGGGAAGCCAAACGGATGAAATGGGAGACGGGCTGTGCAGGATTTCTGCGGACGTGTGATAGGAATAGCCAGGCTGCCTCGAGGCCATCGATCAGACACTGAAGTAATAGGCAGCCAATCAGGCGAAAGCATCTCCCCTTCACTGTTGGCTTGGGGGTAATGTCATGGCCAATTCGGGACGAAGTTTATTTGGCCTAAAAGAAAAGTATAAACGCGGATAAGACTGACCAAGGCAAAAGTGTATGTATCGTTCCGTTAAGACAACATGGAGCATGGGATCAACCGGTCTTTTGTGGTGAATATCTTGCATGCGTCTTGCTGAAAGCAGGCACCGAAAAACATTTCTAAAGCTAATTTCCATCGAAATACTGCCATATATATTGGTAACGAGGACAAATTTGCAGCGAACTTTGAAGTTTTCACCAAAATTCACTTCTCCACAGTAGTAAATTATAGCAGTTAAAGAGTTCATTAAACCAGTAATGTAACAAAGCACTGTGAATAGCACAAATGACTTGTTTGTAAGAGAGGGGATGGCTACTGGCGCGTTCACATTCCATATCACAGAATGAATTCACAATTCATGCAGACTCAAAACCCCACACTATTAAAAAAACTCAACACTTAAAAGCATTCTACTAAGTTATTTGGGTTTCGATAACTTTAGTCTATGTTTGGGTACGTCGTAAAAGTAGTGCCAACCTGAGAGAATCAAATGACCACCAAAGTAACCTTCACCCACACAGGGTATTACAGTATTCACAGCGTATTTGTTGCCGCCAGAAAATATCCGAGAGTCACCACCAACAGCCACAAACTCCTATGGGACACTAAGACGACATATATGACCCTCTCATAAGCCGGAAATTGAGGGACCTCAAAAACAGGAATCAGAGGCAGGAATTTCCGTTGACCAACATGCGTTAAGAGCCAGACATTGGGGCATCCATTTAAGACAGATGTGCGCTATGAGAAATGGGATCCAGCACAGTCAGGCGTGGATACGAATTCAACGAATGACCAAACGACCCAAACCAGCATCGAACTTGTAACAGTTCGCAGTTGCTTTTACTGTCACAAGCGTGGCGGATCAAGACGTCCCACTTGATAGTAGAAGGCACAAGAATTGAACGAATGCCTGTCCCCAAACAGAAGTGATTGTTACTCGTCAACAGTGGAGCATACAATGGCACAGTAAATGTTTGGTTTCTCTCAATATTGCAACTAAACAAAGTGTATGTTAAATTATTAGAGTCTACCAATCTCTGTACTTAGTTCTTCCATACGATTGCGCCTTAACTGCGAAAACCCCCTCCTTAGCCCCCATGTATTCGATAGTTGAACGCATATTTTCAGTTTGTGTGTTGCCAATATTAATATTGACATAACGATGATAACAGTTCGCTAATCTGACAATTGCACGCGAGCACGCATTCCCATTTAAGCATCAATAAGTCATGCTGTTTGCGTGTGTACTTAAGGTGAGGAGCAACTGCACACATGAGACCTAACGAAGCGGATGACACCCGCTTGTGAATAGGTGTAGCACTTTATAGGGGCACCCAATATCTGCCGGTTACTCTAAGATTCCCCTGGCCCATGTACGCGTAGTCTGGACTTCGGACCACACCCAGGCCTAATCCCTTTGCGCTCACTGGAATACAAATTTTCAGCCCCATTTTATGTCTTCCTCTATCCGACGGGAAGAAGGCAGTAAGTGAAGCTGGATACATGTATCTCAAAGACAATAGGGCAAATGGGCCTGAGCATGGCCCGAAGGCCAGCCCACGTGTACAAGGGCCAGATAAATCCTAGTGATCGCCAAACTTCATGTGGGCACATAACCAAAGCATTACACTGCCCCTCTCTTCTTTTGAGCAACGTCCTCGGCGCTCCCCTTTGTAGAACTCCCGCACCAGCCATCAAAAAATATTCAGTACTACGTGGAAGCACCCACGAGCCAACCGCGCCAGTCGACAGATAGCATCCGACTGATGAACCGTACCTGGTCTCCTCAGCAGCTTCAACCGGATCTGGAGTTACGTTTGGTCTAACAACCAGTTTCGGAGCCGCATACACCTTTTGACTATCAATTGCTTCCAGAACTAGGCGGTGGGACTCGAGTTTAAAACAGATATGTTACAGGGGAAACGGGATGAGCCACTGTTCCGTATATAAGGATAACCGTAGTGTCCTTTCCGAATCCTATACACGGATTTTGTATGGAAAATTCCTTCACAAACCTTTCCCAGATAGTTCACGGCGGTGTCGCTTCAGCTGTTAATAGCTTGTCTGTGGATTACGTGAATAAGGTGAAGTTTTGGCCCTTTCGTTGCGAGGGGTTCAGAGAGTCTCCGCCACCGATACAAATGCGTGTGTTCCACACCGTAGGTACATGCAAAAAAACAGTACGTGCTAGGATAGAGGTCAGTGGAAAAATGTCCGGTTCGCTTCCCGCTGTCACCAGTGTAGCGTCCCGAGACTTCCCATAGGGTGCAAGAAAGCGGTAAGTGAGGCTGGATACATGTATTCCGAAGAAAACAGAGCAAATGGACCTGAACATTGCCCAAAAGCCAGCCCACATGTACAAGGGCTAGACGATTCCTAAAGTGATCATCAAACGCCAGGTAGTGACATAAACAAAGTATTACACATTTGACACCAGTTTCGGATGTAGTTTCATAATTCCTTCCTTACTCAAACTTGACCATTGGATCGATGCAGGAAGAATTAATAGGTATTCAATTTAAGTCTACAGCTTACTAACTTTGTATGAGGATTTTTCGGCGTTATTGAAAGATAGTCAATTGACTGCAATTTTCGCACTCTTTGCCAACGTTGGTAAGAAACATCTAGGCACTTCAAAAGTTGGTTTCATTGATTTTTTTGTAAAGTAGTATGATCCTTTTTATTTCACTGGGGCCAATTTTGTCCTTATGTATTTCGGAATCGTCTAAAAAGGCGTTAAGGTGTTTTTAATATTAATTGCTTTACCAAGGAAGCTTCGATCATAGAGGCCATCAATGACTTATAATTCTTTGAGCAACGCGTCAGTATGATTTCGGCTTGGTTTGATTGGCTTGGCATCTTATCTGTTAGTGACGTTTTGTGCGGGTTCATTCGATGGGAGTTCGTCCAAAATTCATTTGCTCAGGCAGAACATTTAAGTTCCCAGGAGCCTTAGCCAGGTTTCTTGAAGTATTATCTTACTTTAGTAGTGGTTGGCAGCGCCTAATTGCCTTTGCATATGATAATTGTATTTCAATAGTAGAACCCAGGTCGATCACAGTAAGGAATAATTTAATAATGACCTTCTCTTAAGCTTGTTCAATCCCTTATCCTTCATTCAGCTGATGTAACACAAGTAAGCTCAGAGTTTCTGTTTTGTGCTACATTAGTCTTTGACTATTTTATTTGACTCTCAACTTGAATTAGGTTTGTCAGTTCCATCTATGCCACTTACTAAAGGTGACAGACGATTTCGCCCTCTAGCTAGTGTGGGCTCCGGAAAATTACTACCATGATGCGAAAAACCCATACGTCCACAGACTTGCGAGCGCAGATGCATCTGGTCGTATCATAGTATGGGACGTTGCTTCGGCTGCTCCGCTGGCTGAAACGTTTGAACACTACGGCGGCGTCTGTGGTTTGTTATTCTCTCTGCATGCGCTCATGTTTAGATATGCACTGGATTTCTGGTCAGGACGTATCTCGTGATCTCCTACTTATTCTCCACACTGACAATGAGCTTATTCTGTGGAATGCTCAAAGTTGCTCGCCTTTATGGAAGAAGAACTACTCTTACCACGTTAATTCAATGTCGCTAGACCCATTTTCCTCGCATAATATAATTCGTGGGTTTATTTCAATGTGATCCGCATTCATTTAGTTCAAGGATCGAACCAGTTTATTTTGGTAAATGATTTAACCTGGAACTCGTCACCGGAAACCTCCGGAAAGCAGATTTTCCTGTCCGATATTGGTATTCTAATTAAGCATTCTTATTTAGATTGCTAGGTCAATCCACTGAGACTAGTGAAATTGACGCTGCTCGCAGGCGCTTTTCACAGACAATTAAAGCAACAGCTAAGGCTGTCATCGGCAAAGGATTTTTCCGTTTACCGAATCTGCAGAAGTACATGAATGCTACTTAAATTAATTGTGTACGGTAAAATAAACAAACCAACCT